TTTAATGTGAACTAAATTAAACAAAGTTACATGTATACAATGTAGACTATATTAAATGCCACACCCTTGTTAAGGACTTCTAAGCTAAAAGCTAAAAACTAAAAGCTTAATATGATAGATGGTTGTTCAATGTTTTTAAATGTGTATTTCCCATGCATTCAAAGTCATTGACTTTGATGTTAGTAGACCACGCATGTGGCTTTACAGTCATTAGACTTTCTTGCTTAGGTTTACTATGTATACTTTGTTGTGAAATTTTACTTAATTAGAAGTTTTCACAACTTGAACTATTGACTACTTGCTCAAATGAATTTACAAACTCATTCTAGAAAAACTCAATTAAAATGTTAAATGTGCAAACACTCCCAAAATTTTCAATTAAGCCCCTTTACCTCTTTTTTTTTTTTCTTTTTTTTCCTTGTAACATTCAAAATCTTTATTTTAAATTTATGCTGGGCTTGGGGATTTTGTGGCTGTTTAGGGCAAACTTATGCCGTAAACAGTGTGCGTGAACAGTGAAAACCAAAATTTTCTGTTCATCTCTTCTTCTTTCCCCTTTCACATGCCCTAAGTCCCTATATTTACAAAAATGCCATTATGAAAGCCTTGTCTTTAACTAAGCTTTGACTCAAGTTTAATTATGCTAAAACAAACCACATAATGGCTATTTAGAGCATAAATGTATATTATAACATGTTTTATGTCATAATGTGTTATTTTCTAAGTTTTGATTTGTAAAATGACCAAAATGCCCTTATTATACTTTTTATTGATTAATAAGCCTTTTTAACTAACTTAGGGTATAATTAGTACTATATCACTATAAAAGTTAATCTATAATAACATGGCCTCTTCTAGAACCATATTTCATTATTTTCAACCCAAGGAACTCATCTCTGCTATAATAGACACTTTGGTTCCCAAATTTTCATTCCAAGCATTGAAGGGCATTTAAGGGCAATTAAGGGCAAATTGGAAATTAAGAAAATTATGGGTGTTACTTTTGTCACTTGATTATTGTTTGTGCTGTTTCCACTTCTTAGTGTTCCAAAGATGCATTTTGGACATGCAATTGGATAAGATAATTTCTCACAATCATAAACTATGTTTACTTCTGAATTAATAGTAATCTAGTTGTTCTAAATAAGTTGCATCTACTAAAATTTTGCTCTGAGCTAAAAGAATATATTCCAGAATTGTTTTTGCAAAGTTTTATATTCTTTTTTGGGTTATCTTTTTCTGAAGTTATTAGATAAGATAAAATTTGTATGTTGATGCATAGAATAATCTGTTCATCCCGTTTTCCCAATTTTCCCTATCTTATTAAACTATGTACAAAGAATTCTAGACTTATATGTGGATGAGGGATTTTTTATAAGTGACTATTAAACAAAATTTTTGTTGACATTGTTATGTTCCAAGAGTAAATATGTGAAAGGCCTCCTGGCTTTTTTTTAGGGTATGGAAACGGCATGTCTGGCATTGACGATACTTTACATAATTGGATGTACTGACATCTAGATGAAAGGCTAGAAATTATTAAAATTACTGTATTGTAGGTCAATGTTCTAAAGGTGACATGATAACTTTTCCATTTGACATGCAGGGGTAAATTTGCATCAATTCTATGGTACTTAATGACGTGAGGCATCATAATGCTGCATACTTTCTTGTCATATGAGATCATTCTATTAGTATTCTGTCTCCAAGGACTGTTTGTGTTCTATATAGTTAGGTCTAGGATTATGTATTTGGTTCTCTTCTTTTTAATAGCGATTGCTGTGCTAATATACTTAAAAGTATTTTCACCCGCCAGAAAGCAAAGCCAAAAGAACTTTGATGTATCTGTGTTTCCTTTGTAGACTGCAGGGTCCTTTGATCACAAAGAGTTCTGACCAATGGATTACTACTTCAGTTGTTGAATATTTCCATGTGCTACCTTATGCGCAGGTGATCAGAGAATGTTTCTTAAGGTTTGTGAAATTTCTCAACATGTTATCATCATCTATATGCTTTGAACTGCAAAAGTTATATGGATTTTATAAAGCTGTTCTTGAACTTTTTCACATTTTAGCTTTACTTGCCATCTTTTCACAAGCAATAAATTTTAAACATTTAGTGTAGAGTGAATTCCCTTTCTAACATTCAGTTTTGCCATGTGAAATATTGCTATTGGCTTGCAAGTCATTTTGCTAAGCTAAAACATCTTAACCGTATAAAATTCTGTTTTCTTGTCTGGGCTGTTTTTCAGAAATATAGTGGTAGTGCTACTGATATTAATGTTCTCTCATGAATGTGATTTTACATTTTACCCTTAATTAGGAAATATTTGTTTTTTAGCTGATTATTGAGCAAAAATAAATCCATTGCATTTTTGTTTAAGGTAGAGACCAAGGCCAGGGATCAACAACCCGCCATAATACTAACTCCAGTCCCTGCTCAGCAAAATTTCTTGAAGTATCTGGCATGTTGTTTTCTTTGAGTTCTTGGCAAGCTCAGTGTCATTTATTTTAGATATCTTTGGCTTGCATACATGGTTAATTTATTTAGCAGTTGCCTTATGGTTTTGGATTTTATAAATATTATTACTATCACTTTTCCGGTGGAGAGGCCATATACTAAAGATACTATTTTACCCTCATGTCAAAAGTTAGAAACTACTATTCTCATTATCCAAACTTACTTACCTACCCAAAGTTTTCACTTACAAGCTGTGAAGAAAATTAAAAAAGGGAGAAGCTAGAAGCAAAAGCTGAAAGAAAGGCATAGTTCTTATTATTATGAAATGATATTACTGTCAAGTGCAAAGCCCTTATATATAGGCTTAGTGACGCATTGGCCAAGAAACAAATAATCAATCCATAATAATTCCAAATCAACTGTAAGGCCTATTACTATAATTGACTCAATCACTATTAATACGGTCTTATAATATCTCTTAACACAAGTTGAGTTTTTTTTGTTTAGAATTGCAAAATTTATAAATACTAAAACTAAAGTTAAAACCGCAGTCATACTAAACAAAGCCTAATTAGGCTATTTTGAGCCTATTTTTCTGATGACATGGCATTTTTTTTCTTGGCATCAAACTAGTTACAAAGAAAGAGTTAACCAATCTTATTTGGCTACTTGTAAAGAAAATGTCATGTCATGGAAAAACTAAGCCCAAAATCAGCAAGAGCTTAATGGGTATTGAAGGGGAAAAGACAGAATGATGATGTATGATTATTTCATCTATTAAATTATGGCTAATTTATTTCAACAGAAATGTAGGAGGGCTAATTCATTCAACTTGAAAGTATGAGGAGACATTTATTTTAAGAATAAGGGTTCATTTCAATAGTCACTGGAAGTGGAGAGGTGAATATACCCTTTTTGCCTTCTTTTTTATTCCCATTTATTCCAAATTATCTAGGCATATGAGCTGTCTTTGCCTTCTGTTATTTTATGCTAGGTTGATATCTTCTACCGTATGGAAGAGATGGTGGTGTAATTCATCAATCTTTTGAAATGTGTTTTACTTTACAGGAAAGCATTTGCTGACAATCTACAAGATCAGAGTTCAGGAGAAAGAGAAAGAGAACTGGATTTAAACGGCTCCAAAAGCAGTGAAAGACAGTGTGATTTAGAATCTCATACTGATGGTGATGGATATAGATGCCAGATAAACAGTGGTATCGTGGAAGCTGCTGAAACTGGTGCTAGTATTGAATCAAAAACACAGAATGTTAACCACAGGCATTGTACCAATGGTTTTTCAGATGTTATCAGCAGTCCCCACAATATGGATGTTGATGACTCTGCTGGAGTCCATTGGGAATGCAAAGCTACAATTGAAGAGATTAACCATAGGGTCGAACTTAATCCTCACCAAATTGTGAACCCTTGCAAAGAGAGTGATTTAAGTGTCACAAATGAGGGTGCAAAGATTGGTTTATTATCCTTGTGTTTGTCGCTATAGTTCTTTAACTCTTTTATTTCATTGTTTGGCTTAGTCTTGCATAAGATAGTTCAATTTTATGAGATCCCCTCTTATAGTAGACATGCAGACACTTGTTAGCAAAGCTAACCTAGCAGTTTAAGCTATTATAACAAGTGACCATTTAACATTATATTAGGGTTGACTTATAGCAAAGCTACTAGCCTATTATAACCACTGACCACTTGACTTAAAAGTCTCAGGGTTTGGATCTGTAGAATCTTTATATGTTACTATTGAAGTTAAGCACTTATATAAGTAAGGTCATATGCTTCAAGTGGTTGCAAAGGCCAACAGGCTTGTGGGTTAACCCAGTCCTTGCAAATAAGGATGTATATTAGATCTGTGTAATGCTTAGGCCTTGCATATTAGGCTAGCTTAAGCTTTTACGACAAGTGGCAATACAGCTTAAAACAATAAATAGTATTATGGGTGAATTAAAACTTAACAGGGAGAAAAAATATCCAAGGTTTGGTTGGTTTAAGTACATTGAAACCCAATTTCTAAATATTGTGCTTGTCATCTGACAAGGCAATATGCCCAAGGGATGATGTAGTTCATTTGGGGGTATGTTAATGTAAAGAGTAACACTTTGTGGAGACAAGTGCATTTTTTGAACTGAGAAAGTGTATTTCACAAAAAACCTCATAGTGGTTTTGGCAATTCACCTGAACACCAGTAATAGTAAATCCTATTGAAGCTATGAACTAGCCAAAATTGTATGCTAAAATATGAAGGCACTCACCTAACAGAATCATGGTTATAACATTGAATTTTTTACTGGATTTAGGTAATTTTCCCCACCTCTCTCAAAAAGAAGTATACAATGCACATCTGACATGTAGATATTCAATTTTTAATTGGATTAAGGAAACTTAAGGTCATACCTGCACCTTTTTAAAGTGTTTAATTTGTGTCCAAGTTGATTTGATGTGGGGGGCTTGAATAACATAAAAATAGACAAATCTTCCCCCTGTAATATTTTGGCTTATATATGACTGAAATGGAGCTAAATGACTGTGCTTTTTAGTGCTCCTTTTATCATTCTGTTATTTAATGACATATTTATCTATGAGCCTGTTACTGGATGCAGGCTGTTATGGTGGAATTGACTACTCTATGCACTCCTGGTTGCAGAGGCAAAGATGGTACCAATGGAGAAGTGGCTCCTGGCAATGTGTTTTCCATTCAACATCTTATGCCTGTTGGTAATGATTCTCGAAGTGTTAACCGATCTGATTCTAAGGATTCTAATTCTGCCAAAATACAGAAGACCATAGCCTCAAAGGAAAACTTCTTGTCAAAAACTGCTTTGAGAGTTCTACATAGTAAAAGAGATGAACTGGTTAGATTTTTTTTTTTTTTCTTTTACTTTGTTGAAACAATTCCCAAGATGCATGCCTCCTTTGAATTGGCAAACACAATGATAACTGGATTCATAATTAATATGGAGTTGATTACAACTTCAGGTTTATGTTGATGAGATTGATATAATGATTGTGTGAATTTTTGAAGTGAATTTCGCTATTTTGAATGAAAACTGCAAACTGTGGATATTCCAGTTGGTTGATTTTACCAGACAGATTTTATCAATTAGTGAATCTCGTTGTTTTGATTATTCTGGCTCTTCTATTTCATATTCACAGTTGGTTCATTGTGTTCTTTTGCATCTTCCTTTCTTGTGAAGATACTTTTTAAATTTTACATAAAGTATGTTGTTCATCCTCAGGTTCTTAATCAACGTCTCATGGAGGATAAGATTGCTCAGTATGATAAAAAGATCCAGACAATTATGAGTGGTATGTTTTCACAGTTTTCTTTTCTGTTATTCATCTCCTTAATGATATAACTATCCTATTCTTTTTTTCCTTTCTAGCGTTACTTCATTAGTATTTGGAAATGGCAGACTACCAATTAAAAATCACTAAAATTGGTCTTAGTATGTAATAATTATCATAAAATTGCAAATTTGAGTCTCCTGAACAGTGGCTCTGTTTATAAAGGAATAGAAAAGGAAGAGCATATCAAGTAAAATTGGAGGTTCCAGTTTAGTACATGTTCAGCCTGCACTATGTTCTAGGTAATTTTCTTTGCAGTAAAAGAGCTCCCTATATTTGCTTGAACTGTCATATTCTATGTTTTTCATCAGAAATTTTTTAAGACCTGTAGCCAGCAAGTTAAAGGAACTGAAATTTTATAAAATGCATAGATGCTGTAGTAAAGAGGTTATGCTGGTTAAAAGATGATTGTGCTCAGGTAGATTTCTAAAAGTAATTAAATTCTATTCTCATCATCCACATCTTCCCTTATTGAAATCTGGGTTGCTTATTTGATATTGTGAGCTATTACACTGGTTTCAATTGGTAAACCAGTCTATATCATTGAGAAAATTTATTAAGAATGACAGAAGTATTGCCCTCTCCAGGCATTTGCATCCTGGTCTGTAATTTAATGATTTATAGAAAATAAAAATTAACCATAAAACTTGAGTGTTATGTAAGGCTCTTAATTGCTCTAGAGAGCAAATTACAGGTCAATCATCTGAACAGAATTTGGGATAAGGGGTGGTGACTTTTTAGCTTGCTTAGTCTTTATAAATTAGCAGGTTCATTTTAGTGGCTGCAACCAAAGTAACCCATTGTACTCTTCATTGGATTAAATTTCAAATAACTTAAAACACACATATTTCAATTTGTTCTCTGTAGGCGGCGATGATGATCTGGAATTAAAGATAGATTCCATTGTAGAAGGCTGTGATAACATCAAGAGGGGACATTTATCAGAGGAAGTTGTGGAAATGCCAAGTCCATGCTGGGCAAGTTTGACCTTCAAATTTTTTCTTGTTTTCACCATATGTTTATGGAGTTTTAAAAGTGTACTCCCTACATTGTCCGATGGTTTCTTTCTTCTTAGACTGTTGTTGAATTCCAGATTTGAGATTTTAGGCTTTTTCGCTGGGTTGCGCATAATAGCTGCATTTTATTGTTTCAACAGGAGTTGGATGATATGTGCTATAAGAACAATTGGAGACTGCCAACTTATCGTGTATCAGCATTGGATGGTAACATCTTCTAAATTCCATCTGTTATATAAATAATGTTATACTACTAGATCCATGTCATATAACTGCTCATATCTTCTGTCTGATTAGGTTGGGCAGAAAGATTCATTTTTGTTTTACATTTGAAATTTTTGCTCTGTCATATCTAATTTCTTACAATGATATTGTTCACTTTCTAGTCTAATGGATTTGTAAAACTCCTGTCTGGATCTTTGAGTTGATGGTTGATCGTGGTGACTTTCGATGAGATGATGAACA